GAATTTTGGAATTTTGGAACACTGCAAGGTTGGTCCTAGGGGGAGGGGTTAGCTATCTATATATATATACATATATGTGTATATATAGTTCATATAGGGGGATATGGGGGTTCATGATGCAATGTAGGGGCTTGAGTTTAGTTACCAACACTGCCTTGCGGCGTCTTGGGAGGCTGCGCCAGGCCCGGAAGGCCAGCTCTGCCACGGCTCCTGAGCAGGGTAGCAAGGCCCAGCAAGGCATCATCTTTAGATGGACTGCTTCTTTTCGCCAGCTTTCAGGAAGTACCGGGCATGCTTTGCACTTTGCACCAGCTCAATACTGCAATCCCAGAGGCTTTGCTGCAGTGTCTGAGCCAGCAGAGTGTGTGAGTAGATGCGCTCGGCCTGTGAAAGTTGGCAACACTTCACAACCCATTTCCCGGACAGGGATCCGGGTCAGCCAGAGAAGTGAATTTCAGAACCCATGCTCCGCAATCGGAATTCCTTCGGGCTTCGACGCGAGCAGCCACGCCATCGGTAGAAAGCAAGTGTTGTCACAACTGCGCGATGCAAGCCTGACGAGATCAGCAGAAATTTGAACCTCGGCAGATGCATCTGCTTGGATGGAAGGGCTGGCGCGGCCTGCAAAGAGAGGCCAAAGGCGTCGGCGAAGTACATGTACACCTCAGCTGCTCTCAGTCTGCTTGTGCGTTAATGAAACCTTTCCCCATCAAGGTTTTCAAGTTTTTGCCCAGCTGCGACGGCCTGAGGATGCTTCCAAAAGCCATCGGCCAAAACAGCTCTCAAGCAGGGTGGAATCCTGCAATTCGGGGGCCCAAGTCAAAGGGGCACAGTCGTAATATTAACGTGGAGGTTAATTTCACTATCCCGCCATGCAGACATCCCAATTCATGTCCATGCACACAGCCTCTAATGTCAAGTTCATGGCGACAGGCTTCGGCTATTCCGCTGATGCCGTTGTTTTCTTGCTCTGCTTGCCACTACAACAGCGAGGGAATTGCTAATTCTATCGAAGACACGAATCGCTAACAGAATCCCCCTATGGGTTCCAAGATTCAGTGACAGGATCTCCTGCGCAACACCGTGCCGCTGCAAGGCAGTCTGAAGTTGTCCACGAGTTTTAGCTGCGGAGGATTGCACTTGAGACTGCCTTGGCAGGACTTTTGCGGTCTGCTGCACGAGCCTGGAAGCAAAAGTTAGGCCAAGTTACGTACGCCACCAACTGAAACAAATAGCTTGCAGCTGTCTGGAGCGAGAACGTAGTGCTGCATCGGCGCTCTTCTCCTGCGCTGCTAGCTGTAGCATGCAAGCGCCCCTAACCGCAAGCAGACCTCTTACGGTATCTCTCCTGGAACGTCGCATGATCAAGCAGCTGCTGCCAGCAGTGGACGCATCTTGCCAGCACGTGCCTCAGGCAAGATGCACGCACAGGAATAATGAGGCGGCACCCGCACGTCCTGCGCAGCCTGTGTCGTTTTGTCTTTGGATGTCTCTGGCGATGTAACATCATGGCTGATGTCTGCGTGAAACACTTCGATGGCCCTCGCCTTTTGGAGGTCGCCAAGCTGGCGACGATTTCGCGCCAGCGGGTGCATTATCATGTTGTTGCCTTGTTTGTGTCGCTCGGGCCGAGTCTAGACCTAATAGAAAGCCTCAAGGGGGGTTAGGGACACCTCAACGAAAATATCTGCCGTGGACTTGGAGTCCAAGTCCAAAGTCCAGGTGGCCTCTGCCAGGCTCGCGTCGCAAGCAAGTGCATCGCCCTCAGGCAGCTTTTTCTTGGCCAAGCGCTGTGCGGCCTTCTTTGCGGCCGAAAGCTTCTTCCCCGAAAAAATTGCAACCGCATGCTCCACCTTAGCCGACTTGCCCTTGTAGACAACTGTGGCAGAAATGTCAGTGTGAGGATTCCGGACAAGGAAGTGAAGCGCATGGTCCCAGATCACTGGCTCTTGCTGCAGAAGATCACCTTGCTCACGGACTTCCGGAATGCTCATGTCCAAAACCTCTTGGATCTTGTCAGGCTTCATGCCCAAGCACTTGCTCACAGAAGCTTTGTCGAATCTTGCACAAAGGTTTCGTATCCATTTCTGGGCCTCGCTTCTGCCTGACTCCTCGACATACTGGGGTTTGTAAGCTGCTTTGGTCCACAACATCTCATCCTCGAATCTCACGCCAAGGACTACACCCTCTGCAGCATCCACAGGCGGAACTAGCCCCTCGCGGATGCAAATACGAAGGATTCCTGTTCTAGGGGAGAAACTCTCGTTGCTTAAGGATGCTTCGAGGTGCTGAGGGCTTTGGGCGTGTCCTGCCTGCTGCTGGACGTCGGGCTGTGAGGCACACTGTACAACAGCGAAAGTTGCACTTCCGGCATTCCTGGCCCTGTTCGACTGGGGCACCCCCACAGCAAAGTTGCTCCCAAGACCTTGCGAAGCTACTGCCGCACAAGGAGCAAGACCTGGGACGCGTCTTGCTCGGACCGTGAACCTCCACCAGCCCGCACCGGTCGTTGCAGTTGACAGGAATCGGACGGATGCAGTTGGTGTCCTGCGGAACCTCACGAAAGAAGCATCCTTGGCTTGTGATTCTCAACTTAACTTTCAGAACTGGTTGAAATCCGGGCGTTCCTGTTGAGGGTAAGTTTGCTGAAACAAGCCATATTTTACCCCAAACCATGTCGAAGTTCGAAGCTTGACCTCTGGCTGGATCTCCATTTTCTCTTCTGTTTCTAGCGTCCACCATCTTTCAGTCTCCGATTTTTCGACAAAGTCGGCCACTGTTGGCCTCTTTCCGCCCTTCTCTACATGTCCCAGCAGGTCGTCTGCCGTGACCAAGTCGCTGTCCCACACTTCCACGAAGACATGTTGCTCCATGTGGTAGACCAAAAGATCGCATGAGTGGGCCGGCCCCCAAACAGGATTCAAGGTCTTGACTTGACAGCTTGTTTGGAAACTGCTACTGCCAATCTTGATTACGACATAGGGGTCGGAGGAGCCTTTGCCCGTGAAGCCGAAGTCAGCTGCTGGCAAGTTGCGGGCCTGCACATGACACTTACATTCCCACAATGCGGATTTGAGAATGACACCATGGGCGTTCATCCAATAAACATTCAAGTGCTACCACCAAATGCTACTTCATCGCTCCACTCATGCTCGCTCTTTTTCACACCTGCCGTGCCCGCATAGTCTCATCTTCGTAGAACCTGACTACATCAAGATATGCTTTGGGTAAGCAGCAGGGGATCTGCTGCACACCGGTGGCTAGCATCTCCATCACCCCGGTGCAAAGCAGACGCCGGTCAACACCGGCTCAACCTCCCTCTGCACTACCTCCCCAAAGCACTGCAAAAGCTCGAAGATGAGAGTGACGGGTCTGAGAGCCAGGCGCCAGAGCGGAGCGGGGAAGCTGGCGGGAAAACACTGAAAATTACATGCGGTACCAAGGGTCCTGCCATCCTAGGCGACTGATGGAATCGGACCAGTTGGAGTTAGATGGGATCCATTCCCAGTAGATCCAAGTCTGGAGAGCAAAGAGGGCCGCATGAATCAGGTTGGCCATGCGCTCCAAGTCAGGGGAGTCGCTGCGCCCTCGAATGAGGCACATGAGAGCCGCCACGTTGTCGATGTACCATACTCCTCTGGCGCCTCGAAAGCGGGACGCACGGGCTGTCAGGGCATAGAGAACCATCGAAAGTTCGAGTTGGGCGATCTTGTGGTCGCCTGGTGTGAACAGCGAATAAACGGAAGGCGACACTTCCGCCACAAACGCCTCGCGGGCTGGCACGCCTGAGCGCCACACCAAAAGCTGTCTAAGCTGATAAGCGCCTGAAGCCCTCCGGTTCCGACGCGGCCATACATGCCAAGCTCGAGGAAGTTGAAGATGCCATGAATTAATTAAGTCTGGCTGCCACACCCGCAGGCAACACCCCGGTGAGCTCAGCCGTTGATAGCATATCCTCCACCTTCTCCTGGAGACGAGCTCGGACACAGCAAGCGACCGTCCCGTCAGCAGCCACCGTGGAGAAGTCGAACTCCAAACCCAAAAAGTTGCCGGTCAAAGACATTTCCTGACGCTTGTCATGCGCAAACGGAGGCCCCTTCAAGTCAGTGAGGTCACGGAAGGCTTGTTGTCCTGACCCTTTGCTTGACGACCAATCTGTCAGGTGAGCATCGTCAAAGTACATGGAGACGAGCACGATCAACGAACGGCGCCCCAGTGCCTCGCAGAATCTGGAGTATCTGTTAAACGAGTATAAAGCTGGAAAGCTGGGCACCCCCATTCCTGATGGTACCAGCAAATGACGCGTGCACAAGGATTCCGCAGCGGACATGGGGCAAGTGATGCGTTCGGCCAATCCTTGCCCCCACCCTCCAGGTAGTCCTGCTGAAGCACCTGCGCCGCTCGGTCTACCCGAGACCCGAAAGTGCAGCCGCGGCGTGCTATGCTGGTCGGAGTCCAGAGCAAAGCACCAGCTTGTTGGACTTGGAACTGAATGCAGACTGTCGCGCCGTGTGGGCATTGTCAATGATGCGCTGCTTGCTGGAGGACTGGAGCTGACTCCAGGACAGCAGCATGGCGCAGAAGCCTGCATCTGGACTGACTGAGGAGAAAGTCGTCGCGCAACCCCGGTTTGAGGGACGCACGGATCTCCGCATTGCGGGCCTCGCAGTCAAAGAAAACACCCTCCAACGTAAGAGGCAGTACGGTGGGGCGAGCCCCACAGCAGGCAAGCCTTGGATGACGCCCAGCAGCATCGTCACATCTTCCCAGGACATGAGGATGACCAATAGACCCAACCAGCCAAGATCGCGTTGGCCTGTCGCAGCTTAAATAGCGGGAGGCTGTAGATGGCGCAAACGGGTCGACACCCGCGTCCATCGTCCCTTCAGCTCGCGCAATGCGCGAATGGAGCGCTGCCGAATTTCACGCAGGCAGCCATGCCCATGTGCCATTGCATCCGCCGCAAACTGCAGGTGTGGGCTTTGCAGGAAAGGCCGAAAGGCCAGGCGGGCAGGCGGCGCTGGCCCTCCGCTGTGCGCCAAAGGAGTCGCTGCTGAGGAGACGCCAACATCGGGACCGAAGGTCCATCGCATAGAAGACGTCTGTGAAGGGTGGCTGGTTGATGAAGTCCTCAATCGTCGGGAAGCAAAAGTCCTCGAACACAAGGAATACAAGGACTTAAAGGCAGCGATGACCGATTCTTGGGAAAGGTAAACTTCCCCAACGGACCCTGCCGGCGCCTCTTCTTTCGAGACGCCCCAACTCGAAGACCAAACCCGCCAAAGCGTCACCTTCGCACATAGCATTGCCCTCGCAGTCACATGCCAATACAGACATGTCCTGAAGATCACCAGACAACTGCTGCATGACGCGGAAGCTAGGACAAAGGATCACAGTTGATCACAGTTGTCACCAGCTGCATTTGGTCACCAGGAGGCGATGGCTGTGGTGCCCACGCCCCACGTACACCACGTTCGGCGGCAACGTCCTGTCCTCCAACAAGACATCCACAACCCAGACTCGCTCAGGCGTACGCGCCCGCTCTCCCGGATAATGAGGTCGGAGCCCGAGTGAAACGGCGGTTGGAGCCATAGCCCACTGGCGCAACACCCTTGGGTCGATTTCCAGCCAGTGCTCCCGCCCGCCGGCCTCCTCGATCAACGGAAAGCACGGCACATGCGAACTGCCCAAGAGACCGACACCGCAATGCTGAACACTCCACGGTAGATGGGAAGACCCGCTTGCCATCCTGGCATTTTTTCCCTCCCGCGTAGCTGAAGCAACTCTGCAGGGAACAAATGAAGCATCCGAAATGCACAGTTGAAAGCCAACTTAATTCACAGTCTACGCAGGGGTGGATGAATAGGAAGACCCAGAATACATTGCAGGCCTGACACTGGGCAATCTCCTCGATGTTGAGGTCCACCATAAGAGGAGGCTCGTCAGCGGGAGCATTGTCAGTCTCCCCAACCAGGTCCTCTCCTGGGACCCATCAAGCCTTGGCCTTAGCTTTGCGCTTGGCTGCTGGGTGTCTCGGTGAGCCACAGACCCACTCACCTCGTATTGCGGATGGATCCCACTCATGACCTGTTTAACCCAGACAGGCATCCTCCATGACCAACTCCAAGAGGCGGTTTTTGCTGCGGCAGCCTTACACTGTACTGCCAAGTCTCTTGCTTGAGAGACACCGTGGAAGGTCTGCCAGGACCGTGTCTCCAAACACAATTTGCAAAACCACCGAGCAGCGGCGAGCTCCGCTGCCACAGCTCTTGTTGCTGCAGGCGCCACTGCTGAAGCCATCACAAAGGCGGGCGTGCTGTGGCTTTGCCATTCACCATGCGTCCTGCCAAGAACTTCGACTCTGGATTGGGCTTGGGCGCGGCTGGCGATGGGGCAGGAATAGCGCTCCTCGGCATCTCGGGCCTGAGCCAGCCCACCTCTTGCTCGTGAGCCAAGCGGGGCACCACCTTCTTGGCCCTGAAGTAACGCTGCAGCACGACGTCCAGGGGCACCTTGACAAATTCGGTGGAATTCGCGCCAACACTTGCTCTTTGGAAGCGTCAGGTACGCCAGGGATGGGCTGAGAGCCTGCAAGGGAGTCGGCGACGAGGAGCGTGCGCAGTTTGCCGAGCGTGAAGAGGCCGTTGCCCAATCTCCTTTTCTTTTGGAAGGTGCCCAATTGAAACTGGAGAGACCGCACCTTCCACACATTAAAGAGGCAAAGCATCCATTTCGATAGCTCACTCGACACAACAGCATCGCGCGGATGCGCCTCAGCAGGGAACCTAAGGCGGTAACGCTGCCAGGACGCCTGCTTGGCACGACGAAGCTCCGACTCTTCCAAGAGGGAGTCCAAATCTGCCAGGGCAACTTTGGAGCAAACTTGCTCCACGTGAGAGAAATAGACACGAGTGGCTGCCCATGCTCCTCATCGCCCAGGCCAAGCTTACCAACAAAGGTGCCCACCTTGGCCTCGTCCTCGCACAAGAACCAGAATTCTTCCAGGTTGCGAACTCCTACCTTAAGCGGCTCTTCCACAACCTTGTCCTTCAAGTCAAAGTTCAGGGCCAAAACATTCAGCGCAGCCCGAATGTCCTGCTCGGCCCTGGGCACCAGGGCTACGGACGCCATGGGGGAAAGACAACACACACTACACGTTGACACCTCCTGGGCAACTCCAGGGTCACCACTCTCAGCCTCCAGGCCGGGAATGTACAGCGCAGCCCAGTCAACACAAGGCAGGCAAGAACATGAGCAAACCCCACCTACATGCAACAAGAGCAAGGCGGGCGCACAACTCACCCAAACGCGCCCTGCTGACGCCTGCTCTTATCGGGTTATAACCTGCCTGGCCGGATGGGCTTATTCGGGCGGTCCGTTAAGCACAGGTGACAAAATGTACAGTTATAACAACAGAAAAGTCGGACTTTCGCTGGCTTACAGCACAGGCCAGAAGTGCGCCGACGCTAGGGCAAAGCACTGCTCACACGCTGGCCGCTGCCACGCAACTGCCTCAAAGATCACCCCTCGGATGCGTCCGGCGGCCCTTGCTGGGCCCTGGCAGCGCTTGCACAGGGTTGTGCCATCATGAAGCTGAAGGTTGTTCTCGGTGGCAGCGTAGCCGACTGGGCTGGGATACGCCGCCGTCGGCAGCCTCGTGCTCTGCAACGCTCGGCCAGCCCATGACCCATCACGGCTGCGAACCTCATCCAGCTCCACGCTCGGTGCTGCAGCATGTATGCCTCGGCCTCATCGAGGGTCTGCCCCCTCAACATGGCCAACGTGAGGCACGTCGCTAGCGCCGCCCTGTGGCGCCCTGCCGCGCAGTGACAAGGTTCTGCAAATCATTGTAAGAGTTCCGAGGAGGTGAACTGGATCCTTGAGACTGACCACCATCCCCCAAGGCAGCATGCTGGGGCACGGTAAAGCCCGCCAACAACCCCAACCGTGGTTCCAAGGCGTCGTAACTCGTCACTCGTGAGCAACATGCAGTCCTCGAGCACAAGCCTGAACTCGCGGCCCTGACCGACTCAAGGCGGGACCAGGGGTGGCCCCTCATGTCGAACACAATCACTGCTCCAACCATAGCATTGTCCAACAAAATTGGTTGTGACGCGGTCCTCCAGGCGGGTCAAAAGAGGGGGCTCCACCCCTAGCGCGTTCTTTTTCAGCCCGGTGGGTTGGGGCGGAGGTCCCGCCACACAGAAAAGCATCCACATCCACCGGGCCCACATCCTCCAAACCCTGGAGGCAGCCGCGCAAGACCTGGAAATGGTAAACTCCTGGAGGGTTCGAATCACGTTCGCTTGAAGCGCCGAACTGAAGCTTCCCATTCTGTCAGAGGTCAACTTTAAGGCGGAGCACCTGGCATCCACCAGCAAGTCCGATAACTCTTTGATCATGGCCTCGTGATGCCTTCCTTTGGCGGTCCAACCGCTGCGTGCTGCTTGATTCGCCCATGCGCAGGCATGGGTTTATAACGTCTCGGCAAAGGAGGCCTGGAGGAGGAAGGCGCTTGGCTTCCTGCCACCGCCGCGGAATGCACCAACGCCAGGCTTGCACCATCTACCGCTCTAGTCCGGGACTGCTGCCATGCCCCCGCCACCTCGGGGCCAGCTACCAGAGCTGCCTCCTCGAAACTGCAGAAATCAGATGCAAAGTCCTCATCTTGCTGGACTCCGTGTGTGGCGCGCCACTGCGCCACTCGAGCCACCACCAACTGGTCCATCGCCTTGCAAGGGCTGTGGCTCTGCCACACTCGGGTCGCCATCCATGGTCTGCACCACGGACCGCGGAGGCAAAAGCCAGCCAGCGCCCAGCAATACTGCAGACATCTTACTCAGGGTGGCAAGCACGACACGGTCGGCTGCAGCCGAATCGAAGCACACGAACTGGTTGCACACCCTGCAAAGGAGCACAGTTGGGAAGCCACAGGCAGCACAGGGAGGATATAGCGTTTCAATGCTGGCCTCAAGGCTACCCAGCCACATCCACAAAGTGCGGCCCGACCTGGCCACGGTGTCATGGATCGCCATCTCTCGGCTGGCCACGGGTTCATAAGCTGGTTCACGCCAGCGCCGCTCCCCTCGCTGCCAGAGCCTCCAAGCACGCCAAAGATCTGCTGCCGATGCCAGGCGTGGATGCTCCCGCTGCTCCTGCTCCGCCAGAACACCGACGAGGCCATTGACGTGCGTCGGTAGAACATCATCAATGGAAAGCCCCGACCAGGCTTGCAAGACCCCGTCCTCAGACAAGCGATCCCGGCTTGCTGACACTCGAGCCCAAGCTTGCTGCGGGCCAACGCCCGGTGCGACCAAGATCGCACGCCTGGCAGCCCTTCACAGCGAGCACAGTTCGCGGCAACACACGCTGCGACTC